TTGTGAAATATTTAAGATTCAATTATAGGAATAGCTCTGCTTTGCCCTAGGACCTGGTAGGCTAGATAAAATTTATAAAATGGATCTGATTATACCTAATTTTTCCCATTGCTACTAGTAAGCTCAGAGCTAAAGAGAAACACATACACATATAAGTATATACATATATAAAATAAATACATTTTTAATGTTTTTAAATTCCAGTTTCCTATTGAACTTGTTGCTACCCTTTCTTGATTATATAAACAGTAAAAATGTGGTTGTTAGAAAAACAAATCCTAAATTACCTCATAAGTAATTCCCTACAGATGTCCCTCTTTTCTTACTGGTGTTTCTAATTTTCCTCCAACACTGGATTCTGTCTAGCAACCTAGGCTACAGTACAGCTAGCCTAATGAGGGCATTGACAGCTTTTAACACTATACTCATGGTCTAAAAATTAGATCATCAGTGCTGAATGTAATTATGTCAAAAAGTTCCCTCCCTATAAATTCTCTGTGTCTTGAAAATGTTCAGGCTACCTGGTTCTGTAACCAATGAGAATATAACTGGATTTTTGTGTTGCAAATAGTTAAGCTTCAAGGGCAGGACTGGAGAATGGGAACTTTTTGCAGGAAGGACAACATAGAATAAAGACTCCTAGAAGAAAGAGCTTTTTAAAGGCCCATCTGGTACTAGGATATGTTTTACTATCTGCCGTAGTGTGCTAGAGCTGACTCTTACCTACTCATAAGAGCTGGCTGTTCAAAATTTCAGGACTTTTGTTGAGTCAGTTGATACTATGCTGATAGCCTGAAATAGGCTATGTTGGGAATATTTATACCATACAAATTGGCCAATGCTACAAATCAGCTCTTCATCCCTAGAGAGCTGGTTTTACACACTTACCAGCCAATCACTACTTATCTGGCTCACAACTACCAACAAGACAGGTATTACTGTCTTCACTTTATAGATGACAAAACAGACCAAAAACAAAACAAAACCAAAAAAATCTTTAGGCTTTAAGGAGACATTACAGAGGAGACCAACAAAGAATATCTGAAGCATAAAGAAACTGCCAAAGCAGCAATAGGTATAGGGCAGTGCTAATTCTGAGGGCTGTATCCAGAGGAAAAAGATCTTATCCAGACAAAGACAATGAGCTAATTTAAGGAGCTCCCAAACTGAGTTTCAGAAGACTGTGAACAATTTCTTTTTTTTTTATTAAGTCACATATACATAGATCATGAATACATTTATGCCTTTGTGGGATTCAGTGTCTTGATTATTTGTACACATTGGAGTGCTTACATCCTACTAATTAACATAGCTTTCACCTCATTTACTTAATCATAGTGTTAAGACATTTGTCTTCAATACTTGATAGATTTAACTTGTACCCTTGCAATGCTCCATAGATATGGTCCCCCCATTAACCCTCCCTCTATCATACCACTCCCCTCCCTTACCATCACCTTCCCCTTCCCTCCTTCATCCTGGGCTATAGTTGTGATTCATCTCTCATATGAAAATGTGAATGATTATAAATTGATTTTATAGTAGTACTGAGTACATTGGAAATTTTTTTTCCATTGCTGAGATACTTTACTAAGAAGAATATTTTCTAGCTCCATCCATGTAAACATAAAAGAGGTAAAGTCTCCCTCTTTTTCAATGCTTCATAGTATTCCATAGTATGTATATACCATAATTTATTAATACATTCATGGGTAGATGGGCACTTGGGCTTCTTTCAAGACTTGGCAATTATGAATTGAGCTGCAATGAACAATCTGATGCAAATATCTTTGTTGCCAAGTGATTTTTGGTCTTTTGGATATACACCCAGTAGAGGACTTGCAGGATCAAACAGCAGGTCTACATTTAGATCCCTGAGTGTTCTCCAAACTTCTTTCCAAAAGGAACATACTAGCTTGCATTCCCACCAGCAATGCAGAAGTGTTCCCTTTTCTCCAGCATCTGTAGTTTTGGGATTTTGTGATGTGGGCTACTCTTACTGGAATTAGATGATATCTCAAAGTGGTTTTGGTTTGCATTTCTCTGATGATTAAAGATAATGAACATTTTTTCATGTGTCTGTAGACCATGCACCTGTCTTCTTCAGAGAAGCTTCTGTTCATGTCTTTTTCCCACAATGAAATTAATAAGTTTGAGTTCTCTGTGGATTTTGGTTATTAGACCTTTGTCAGAAATATAACCTGAAAAAATCCTCTCCCATTCTGAGGGCTGTCTACTTGCTTTACTTACTGTGTTCTTGGCAGTGTAGAAGCTTTTTAGTTTGAGCAGATCCCAGTAATGTATTTTTGATGTGGCTTCCATTGCCCAGGGTGCTCCTCCTCATAAAGAATTCTCCCAGGCTGGGTGGTGCCTGTGGCTCAAGGAGCAGGGCACCGACCCCATATGCCAGAGGTGGTGGGTTTAAACCCAGCCCTGGCCAAAAAAAAAAAAAAAAAAAAAGGAAAGAAAGAAAAGAATTCTCCCAGGTCAATTTTTTCAAGTGTTTCCTCTGCACTTTCTCCAAGAATTTTTATAGTTTCATGTCTTAAGTTTAAGTCCTTTAATCAGTGAGAGTCAATTGTTGTTAGAGGAGAAAAGTGTGGGTCCAATTTCAGTCTTCTCCAAGCCGCCAACCAATTTACCCAGAACCATTTGTTAAATAGGGACTCTTTCCCCCAATTTATATTTTTGATAGGCTTATCAAAGACCAGATGATGATAAGTGTCTGGGTTCATCTCTTGGTTTTCAATTCTGTTCCATACATCTATCTCTCTATTTTTGTGCCAGTACTATGCTGTTTTGATCACTATAGACTTCAGACTGATAGTGTGATAAAATGTCTATACTTCCCAAAGCAATCTACAGATTTAATGCAATCCCTATTAAAGTACCTCCGTCATACTTTAAAGATCTGGAAAAATTAGTACTTCCTTTTATGTGAGAACAATTTCAATAAGGAACTAAGGGATCGAACAAAAGGCTCCAGGGGGAGCATGAGGCTTCTCCACCCTTTTCCAACCCCTATCTCTCTCAACCTTGGTTGAATGAGTCACAGTCAAAAGCAAAAAATTTCTATCCTTCCAAAGAGGAAAGGCTTAGTCAAACATAAGGGACAGGAATTAGGCCATGATTCCCAGTAGGCAAAGCTTTTGGAGAAGTTGAAAAGTCAACACATAAAGCTATGCTCATTTTCCTTCATATTTTACTTCCTAGCAGTGACTGGAATGAAAAAAGGCCCTTGATAAACAGCCTCCCTATTGTACTATCCTCCTTCCTCTTCAAGGAGTTTGACCCAAAGCAAAGACCATAGCCCAAAAGATCCCAAGGTGAGCAGCCGGTGCCAGCTTAGCTAGAGGGTACCCAACTATGGTTCTAATTTGTTCTGAATGTGGGTTTTGAGCCAACTAATAACCAAGTAGTATACTCTGCCAGTCATAGTCCTGTCATGTATTTCTCTCAGGAGCCTGAAGGGAAGGGGATGCTGTGGCTTAGGCTACGGTTAAGTCAAGTCTAGATCCACAGCACTATCTCATATTGTTTTCTCAGAGACCAAGATAATGAAGAGCTCATAGTTTACAATAAGCCAGAAGTTAAATCATGTTTGAGTATTATGAGGCCTGTACTCTCTCCACAGAGCTCTTTCTGTGACATAGGACTGGGCACAGAGATTTTGCAAGAAATCCTCTTGCTGGGGCCCTGAAGGGGAGTTGAACTTCCATCCTCACATGCTGATTTATTTTCTGAAAAGGGAGAAAGGGTGTGAAGGTAGACAAATGCTCTTGTTTCTTTGAATGATATCTTTTTTTTTTTTTTTTTTTTGAGACGGAGCCTCAAGCTATCCCCCTGGGTAGAGTGCCATGGCATCACGCTAACAGCAACCTCCAACTCCTGGGCTCAAGCGAGTCTCCTGCCTCAGCCTCCCAAGTAGCTGGGCCACAGGCGCCCGCCACAACGCCTGGCCATTTTTTGGTTGCAGCCATCATTGTTGTTTGGCGGGCCCGGGCTGGGGATTCGAACCCGCCACCTTAGGTGTATGTGGCTGGTGCCTTAGCCGCTTGAGCCACAGGCGCCGAGCCTGAATGATATCTTGAATGAAAAAATGAGATAAAGTACATAGGGTGCTTAGTCAATAATTAGCACTTGTCAGATGGTGGCTAATTTTGCAATGTACTATAAACTATGACCAGTACCAAAATATGGAATTTGAATAAGATCAAGGTGCATCTCTTCTACTCATATATTTTATCTTTTTCCAGAGTAATTAGGAAAGGAAGGAATTTGGAGCTGGGATTCAAATAATTCCCTTACTCTTCAAAAAGTAATGCCAATGATGCTTTCGTCAATGTTTCCTTGGGATTTCCGGAGTTTCTACTTCCTAAACATCTTTATAGAGGAAAACTCTCAACCCAGTCATCTAGCTGCTGTTCCTCTTCCTCTGGTATTTGAGAAACCACCTGTGGCAGACTCAAATGTGTACATACCGCACAGTCATCCCCCTTCTTCCTTGCTTATGGGTTCCTGATTTAACCCAGAATGGAACAATATGTTCAGCAAAGACTCCTCAGGTGATGAACAATAATGAATATAAACTAACTATGTAATTAATTCTCCTTATCACAGATTGGTTTAGAGGTGTGTATTTATTTCACCAAGTTCTGGTCAGCAGAACTTGGAAAGATGTCTTTTGGCATTTCTGCAAAATGGGAGAGAGATTTGTGTAAGCAAACCTCTAAAATTCTTTCCGGATTTGGCTTTGCATGTGAAAATATAATACTTAGAGCAATAACTGCCATCTTAGCACCACAAGAAGGTCAACAAGATAATGGAGAAGCTGATCCCAAGTTCTGACATTGCTGAGCCAAAGAACTCACTCTGAATTACCTACCTCAAGACATTATATGAGAGAAAAATAAATCTTATTATTTAAATACTTTGTAGGCACATATTCCATAATTTGCGAATAAAATCATCCTAACCATATGGCTCTCCATTTCACTTACCCCAAAATCCCCTTCGATGGGTGGCAAGAAAATTCCATTGAAAGCACAGGAGGAATAAGGGCAATAACTGGTATTGAAGAGTTCTACAATGCTTTGCTGGCATTGTTGATAGTCTCCAGTACCCTGGATTTCAAACTGCTCAAATGGAAGAGTCCTCTTAAATTTCTTGGTACAGGGTGTCTTGTAAAGGTCACTTATATTCACTGTCTTCTCATATCCAGGGTGAAAACATGGGTCCCTGAGAATTCCACCATTTGCAGTCTGAATGAAAAAAAAAAAAAAAAACACTTGAAGGCATCAGGTGTGAATGCTTTAGATACAAAGGGTGCAATGTATAAGCATTATACAATATCCCAGCTCTCAGCATTGGCATTGATATGACCCTGCCTTGCCCTTTTCACCTTTGGAATTAAGTTAAAAAAAAAAAAAAAGATTTGCATAACAGGTACCAGATGTGCTATCAGATGTAAATAAATTTAGCAATTTATAGAATGCTGATATAGTTAAAGGTGGGCCCAAAAGGCCATTAGTTTGGAATGTCCCTGAGCACTTAGTCCTAATCACATAGGTCAGGAGCAGATTCATAAGGAAAACTTTCAAGACTCTCAAAATTTGAAGCCTAGAGGTACTTCTCCAATAGTCTGCACACCAGTCCCAGACCATCACCACCTCTCCTAGCAGAGAATCAGAAGTTCCAACATGCTTTAGGTCATTTAAGCCAGTAGTATCAAAAGGATTTCTAAGCTAAGAGAAGAAAAGAAACTGTGATGGATAAGAACCTTAGTGGTGCTCTAAGCAGGGCTTATTCCTCTAGTGATTATCTTATTGATAGTGGTGGTCTTGAGAACTGGAGAGAGTGCCTTGGAGGAGAGCAGAGAACTGGTTATCCTTTCAGTGGAGACAGGGTACAGCTGGATGTGCTATCCTTGCCCTGTATTTGTCAGGGTCTGCCGGTACTTGTATGTTCAGTATGTTTAACTTTTCCTGCCTTCAAATCTGGGAACACAATTTGAAGTGTTGATTGATAAACTCTGTGTTTTCCATGAAGTGTTTTATTTTTTTATTCTCCAAGGTCATTTCTAACAACTATTTTCTGTAGTTTGTAGGAAAAGGAGATTAAAAAGTGGTCTAGAAGAGCTTATGAACTGAAATCCACCCTCCAAACAACATTTCTACCATGTAATCTTCATTATCATCCCCATAAGGGTGAGAAATTATTTCCTAAGAAAGGATCTGTGTCCTTGGAGATAATGGAGTAAACAAACATAAGAAGAGATGTCTGGATGGAACCATTCACAGGGGTCAACCAGATGTAGTTACATATTCTTTCTGAAAAAGGTTTGGAAAGTACAATAACCAACTTTACACCAGTAACTGAATCAGAAAAAGAAAACAACAGGATGTGGGGGCTGGAGGCCCAGAGGTAAGGAGGGCAGGTCTGGATTCATTTATACTTGCCTGAATGTCCTTGGCCAGTTTCTGCCAGAGTGCTTGATCCTTCCCATAGCACAAGAAGCTATGTGTGTATACCTCATAGTCCTTGCCATAGAGGCGAAAGTATAAAGAGTCCTCTTCGGACTCAGAATGCCGTGTGGGCACAAAAGTGATTTGTGTAGAGGCTCCCCCAAGGTCCAAAGCTCCAAAAGTTTCCTCATGATTGCTTTCAGGATATGCTAGGTAGAACCAATTCTGTGCCTAAAAGAGAGTACAATGACCAGTACTGAAGTTTCTGGACATTCTACTGTTTATATTATTTCTTGGACTCAGATACTTCCTAAGGCAAAGAAGTAGAGGCATAAAGGTAAGGCAAATCTCACTGGAGGTTCCTGATCTACAGGAGAACAACAAGAAAAGAGAGGGTTGAAAGAAATACCTCAGACTGCAGCAACACAGAAGCAGTGTGACTAATGTTTACCAACTAGGAGACTGAGGCCAGATAGATTCTAGTACAAGTCCCCACTCAATCACGCATTAGCTGTGCAGCCATGGGCAGAATAATTACCCTCTCTAGGCATCAAGTTGGGGGCTCTAAAATGGGCATAATAATAGCAACTCACAGTTTTAATGAGAGGATGAAATCAGATAGCACATGAAAAGTCTTTAGCACAACACAAGACACATAGCACTAGGCAAATATAAGCTATTCTTATTTTTATTTTTGTGTGTATGGAGACAAGAGTCTCACTTTATTACCCTCAGTAGAGTGCCATAGTGTCACACAGCCCACAGCAACCTCCAACTCCTGGCCTCAGACGATTCTCTTGCCTCAGCCTCCCAAGTAGCTGGGACTACAGGCACTCGCCACAACACCTGGCTATTTGATTGCAGTTTGGCTGGGTCCGAGTTTGAACCCGCCATCCTTGGTATATGGAGCCAGCACTCTACCCACAGAGCCACAGGTGCCGCCCAAGCTATTCTTATTTTTAATAATAGATTTTTAATCTCTTCTGTGTCTTCCTAAGGTAAAGACATGGTTTCATTATTCTCCAATAATAGAAGTTCTTGTAAGAGAATATCTCCAGTAACCCTTATAAATGTGGGAGTAAATTCATTATTTCATTAATTAATTCACCCATCATTCATTCTGATTAGTCACCCAAGTACTGCCTGAGACAGCAATAGTATTGGTGTTTATAGAGCCACCTCCATAGGTGCTGTGAGCTATTCACCTTAATGAATTTTCCCAGCAGATAGTTGATAGTAATCCAGCCGTAAGCACCTTCCTCTTGGCCAGTGATGATCCTGGCACCCTGGAAGTTAAAAGGGTAGCTGCTGAGGCTCCTTGTCACCACATCCAGGACCCTGGCTGCTGACTCCTCACTTTCCATCCTATACAAAAGAAGAGCTGAGGTTATTGTTTTTGTTTTAATAACTACATCTACCATTTCGGTTAGAGATTACATGCAATGTTTCCAAGAAGTGAACCATAACACACTAGAATAAACAGAAAGGAAGGGATGTCATGCATATGGCTGACGGAGGAACCCTCTTTCTGAATAAGACAGAACTCATTTTTTGGCCCCTTCCCCCCCTATCCAAATCCTTTAAATCCTTGCATAGGTTAGTTTTCCTAAAATACTATGTTCATTCTGTTGTTCCCTGGCTCAAAAAATTATCAAAGACTCTTAAAATTACTGTTAAGAGGTAGGTAACAGTCAGTGCCTGTTATCAATGTCTGTTGATAGCTAGGCATTGTTTGATCATTATATGGGAGTAATCTGTCCTACATTAGCCATTACTGGTGACTTCTAGCCAGTTACATAACCATACTCTGCTTGAAGTTTTAAATTAGGGCTTTAATAGAAACCAGGTGGCAAATGACTTGGGCTGGACAGCCTGCTGCCAAACTGGAAAAAAGTATTCCTCAAATTATCCTTCACTTCTTGTGACTGTTTGAGACCTTGAGATCTAAAGGAGGAGTCTTCCAGGATTGTCATAATGAAGGTGGGATGCAACTGCTTCCAAGATCTAGTCTATGTCACACTGAGAACCTCTGAGTGGGAGGATGTTAACTTCCCCGTAATCTCTCCTCCATACCTACTAACTTCCTTTTATCCCTAGCTTTCCTCTCCTCCAATCCATCTTCTCTACTAGTGTCACCATTGTGGAAGATCCTTTAAGGTCTTCCCACTATCTCCAAGATAAACTCCAAACTTTCTAGCATGGCCCACAAGGCACTTTATGACCTGGGTCAGAGGTCCTCAAACTTTTTAAACAGGGGGCCAGTTCACTGTCCCTCGGACCATTGGAGGGCCAGACTGCAGGCCCCGGGACGAGTTGGCTGCTAAGCAGGACAGGCAGCTGTGGCAAAAACACCCAGCGGGCCTGATAAATGTCCTAGGCGGGCCGCATGTGGCCTGCGGGCTGTGTTTGAGGATGCCTGATCTGGATCCTGTCTTCTCAGAATCTCACTCAGAACCCTGGCTTTACCACTTGCCACACGTGTAACCTTGGATGAGTTACTTAACATTTATAAGTGGCAGCTTCTTTACCAGGTTAATAATATCTCTTTCATAGTTATGATGATTAAATTAAACAGCATATGTTAAATGCTTAGCACAGTGTAAGAACAAAGCAAGGGCTTAAGAAATACAAGCTTCTATTATTATTTTAGATCATGCACCCTTATCTTCTATCTATGCAGAACTACTTACAGTTCTCTGAATAATACCTGGTCTTTAACACTCACTTCCCTGACTCTGCATATCCATTAGAACATGAGCTTCATGAAGTCAGGGACTTTTATCCTGTTCACTTCTATATCCCTAGCACTTAGAATAGTGCCTGACACATGATCGGTACTGAATAAACACTGGTTACCAGCTGGGTGCAGTGGCTCACACCTGTAATCCTAGCATTCTGGGAGGCCGAGGCAGGTGGATTGCTTCAGCAAGGGTGAGACTCTGTCTCTACTAAAAAAAAAAAAAAAATACAAAAATTAGCTAGGCATCGTGGCAGGCACCTGTAGTCCCAGCTCCTTGGGAGGCTGGGGCAAGAGGATCACTTGAACCCAGGAGTTTGAGGTTGCTGTGAGCCATGACGCCATGCCACTCTACCCTGGGGCAATGGAGTAAGACCCTGTCTCCAAAAAAAAAAAAAAAAAAACCTAACACTGATTCCCAAGGCATGTGATCTGCTCTGCCTATAATTCCCTTTCCCTACTACAAACTTGTTCTTTGTCAATCAGCTAATATATCCCCTCCTCTGGTAAGTCTTTCTGACAGCAGTTCTGAGCACTATTCTATTCAAGAATGGATCGCCCGTATCAAAACTGATTTCTTTGAGGGCTGAGACACATATTCTAGAAAGAATAAGTACTCAATATATGAAGAATGAATGAATGAATTAACAAGTGAACAAATAATGTACATGGTTACCAAGTGGCTGCCAATAAAAATGGGTTATTTGTGATTACTTATGTATTATGATGTTCATGGGTCTTCTTTGATCTTCCTTCTCCTAGATATTAAATGGCTAAACCTATAACCCAGGTAGAGTATATAGGCTTAATGTTTCTTTCTCCCACTTTGTCCCCTCTCTGTTGAACTCTCCATGGAGGGATGGGCAAGTCTTTTTTTACATACTTAAAATCCTACTATTAATGTCCTAGTAAGAATTTAGAAGTTTTACTCAACTTTAGGCTGTAGAACAGGTGTCCTCAAACTACAGCCCACGGGCCACATGCAGCCCACCTAGGACATTTATCCCGCCTGCCGAGTGTTTTCGCCACCGCTGCCTGTCCTGCTTAGCAGCCGACTTGTCCCAAGGCCTACAGTCCGGCCCTCCAACGGTCTGAGGGACAGTGAACTGGCCCCCTGTTTAAAAAGTTTGAGGACCTCTGCTGTAGAATTTGGGGTATTTGGAAAGTGTAGCCCTCTCTCAAAACTTCAGATGCTCTTTCACTGTCAAGCCTAACTACCAAACACTTTTTATCTTAATTGCTATACCTGAGCAATCGCATGCCTGCTGTGGCTCCCAGGTAAACAGGTGTTTCTTGGTGCTGGGAACTTGGAACTACTTTCAAGGCTCTTTCCATGCATTCAGACAAGTAAATGTTCAAGTCGTTTATTTTCTGAACATATTTTGAGATTCCAGGACCTAAGGAAAGAGTAGAGGATAATCTCTTTTTAAAAAGTATAAAACATACCTTAACAATATTAGAGCAAAATATGATATTTTCTTGAAAAATACAAGAAAACAACTTCCTGATGTAGTATATGTTAGGTAGTTGTAATTACAGGGTGACTCACTAGACCTAGCTTTGCTTATGTAATTTTTAAACCTTGAGTTGGGTCTGTCCAGATACAATAATTTTGCCACTGGATGGCGCAATTTTACGATTGCACAATAGTCCCAGATTTTAATAGAGATCTTATAGATAGCTACTCTATTTGCTGCTTTTTGGTGTTTCTTCCACAAAGTTCTAATTAACAACATTAATTCCTAGAACACCTAAGAAAATAAGATATTTAGAACCAAGGTTAAAATAAGACCAAGACACACTGGCTTTTACTGAAAAAACAGAAGCTGCTACTAAACTGGCTATGTGATTATGGTCCCCTAAAATTTCTAACATTGAGCTTTCTTCATTTGTTAAAAGAAACAGGAATAAAACTCACATATCCTCAGCAACTCTTCAACTCCAGTACCCTGCCTTCCTAGTGAAACTACTTTTCCAGTTTTAGATCAAAAACCTAACTGTTGCTAAGCAAAGGATCTTGAGCTAAGATTCCTTAAGCTGTTTGTATTTCCTCAACACTTTTACATTAAAATAAATACCTATAACAGCATTTTTCAACCTTTTTTATCTCACTGCACACATGAACCTACAGTTAAACTTCCACAGCACACTTAAATTATGTTGATCCAAAAAGAAAGAGTAAGAAAAAGAATATACTTCCTGTGCATTAAACTTCTTTCAAAAGTATTTTTATTAATGATCTTTAAAAATTTTCGTGATACATCTAAGATCCTCTTGCAGCACACCAATTGAAAATCACTGATCTACATTATCAGTGGTTCACAATAAGTATTTGCTTTAAAGGTGATTATTCAAATAAGTTATCTACATCATTCACAAGTTCTTAAATAGCCTGTTTACTTAGCCATGAGAAAATCAGCTCTATATTAACATCTGTTTTAAATCAGAAAATCTGGTGTTAAATATTGATTAAGTAGAGAAGTCCCTCTTTTGAGAGGGGAATATACCACATTTGTTAAACTAAACACTCCTGAGATAAGTCTCAGAAGAAAGACATCTGCTAGATTAAAAATAAACAAAACCTTTTAAAAATGGAAAGCTTCAATGATTCCCTAACAATAAAAAATAAAATAAAATAAAAATGGAAGGCAGTGAATTAAATAAAAACCAATAAAATGAGAGATTGGGGGTTTAAGAAAAACTAGACATACTGTCTCAGTATTGATGGAGCCAAGGCTCAAGCTACTGGATAGAACAGCTTGCTTGCTTAGAAACACTCCTTCTATACTAGTTTCTTGGAAAACTACAAAAATTAGTGAACTCCACAAGCCATCAAACTGAAAGGCGATTGTGGGATCTAGATTACCTATCTGACTAAAAATAAACAGTGGGTTCCTGGCCAAAATACCAAGAGGTAACGGTCAAAGAGATTACAGTGCAATGAGATGTTTGTCACTGCATGATGGGGTACAGTGCAATGCAATGTTTGTCATTGTATGGTGGAGTACAGTGCAATGCGATTTTGTTGTTGCATGATGGGGTACAGTGCAATGCGATGTTTGTTGTTGTAGGGTGGGGTACGGTGCAATGCGATGTTTGTCACTGCATGGTGGGGTACGGTGCAATGCAATGTTTGTTGTTGTATGGTGGGGTACAGTGCAATGCGATGTTTGTCGTTGCATGATGGGGTACAGTACAATGCGATGTTTGTCGCTGCATGATGGGGTACAGTGCAATGCGATGTTTGTCGCTGCATGGTGGGGTACAGTGCAATACGATGTTTGTCGTTGCATGATGGGGTACAGTACAATGCGATGTTTGTCGTTGCATGGTGGGGTACAGTGCAATGCGATGTTTGTCGTTGCATGGTGGGGTACAGTGCAATGCGATGTTTGTCGTTGCATGGTGGGGTACAGTGCAATGCGATGTTTGTTGTTGTATGATGGGGTACAGTGCAATGCGATGTTTGTCGCTGCATGGTGGGGTACAGTGCAATGCGATGTTTGTCGCTGCATGGTGGGGTACAGTGCAATGAGATGTTTGTCGCTGCATGGTGGGGTACAGTGCAATGCGATGTTTGTCATTGCATGGTGGGGTACAGTGCAATGAGATGTTTGTCGCTGCATGGTGGGGTACAGTGCAATGCGAT